CGGGGCAACGTTCAATGAACAAAAGCAATTGGCAAGTTCGTGCCTTAAGTCTTTTGTTTTGTGCGCTAAGCTCATGAAATCGCATCGGGTTCACTCAAACGTTTTGACAAATCGCTTAAGCAGCGCTTAAGTTCATGATAAACAGTAGATTGCATTGTTAATTGATTGATTACACTGAACAACAAGTTTGTAGAGTTGAAGTCAAAATTTTATTTTATTACATTTTTTTTATATAATATTTTCTGAGCTCAGCTCAATACTTGACTTGAGAGAAATCTTTACAAAATTTTAATTGAATTGATTTATAAAAAAAAATCGCATTAACTAACATACAAATATTTATTGAGGGAGCTAATTTCGCACTCGTAATACTTAGTAAACTAAATCACATATATTCATCTGGTTCTCTATATGTGTATCATCTCTTTAATTATTATTTTTTTTCGATAATGCAGCTCATTATCTTATAAAAATCAATAAAAACAACTTGAAGTACATAAAAGCTAAAGATTTAATAAATTGAAGTACTCGTTTTATTTATTGTAAAAAAAAAAGAAACAGGTAAAGATTATTTACGAATTTGGAATTCTGACGTCATATTAAAAAAAAAAACATCCTTACTCAATTAGTATAAATTTCGCATTTTTATCTGCTCTCGTTAGGTTGCTATTGTTTTATTACATATCAAGCCAGTTATTTCGTAATTAGTTTCCTCAAACCTATACATATTTAAACCCAATTTGGCATTTTGGCTATTGCTCAAAATAGTTTCGGATCTGATTATCTGTTTTGACTCGCGTGATATCCGTGTTAAAAAATTAATGCCAAATTAAGTTAGTTAGTTAAATGCCTTCAGACTTAAAGCCTAGCCAATGATTCTACACGGAACTAATCGAGCGACTAAATCGAACTGGTGCAAGTGACAATCAGTGTGAGAGACAACTTAAATAACAGCTAACTAAAGAAGAAGAAGAAGAGGAGAAAACAAACAATTAAATTGCAATTGTAATTGCATTGAACGTCTGACTAAGTCTTAATACCAGTTAAATGTATATTATTATTTAAGTCTGAATGTGTTGACAGTGTGAAAAAATAAAAACTGGTTTAGTGACGCGCCTCCAGTAATTTTCCTTAATCAATGCGCTATAAAATGTGTATATATGAAAATAATATAGCTATAACTGACCTACGTCAGAGCCTGCATATTATATATTACGACTATCTCAATTATTATGCATTTATTTCTAATAATCAAAACAATTATTATGTAAAGAATGTCTGAGTGGGAAAGGAAGGCAAGGCTGGCTGGCTAGCTGGTTGGCTTCTCTTGGGCACCGGAAGCACTTTTATGAAATTTACATTTGGTTTTCATTTGCTTGTTAAATTCAATTAAGCCGCTAGCGACACGCAATAAAAGTGAAAATCTCTCGTACGTAATTAGATGTAATCTCTGCGGATGGCCACTTTGCTGATGTTACGTTACGGATCATAGGTCATGATACCTGTGACTCATATGGGTGACACTCCGATATGGGTTAACGCTTGGCTGCTGCTGTTGCTTCAGCCGGCTATATCAATTGTTTTTGTGCCGAGTCATCGGACGGGCGCACAGTGCGTATGCGTACTATGCGCAATATATATGTTGAGCTAGAAGTCGATTGTGCAACGCACACGCTTGTAACTCGTGAAAAAAACCCCAAGCACAGTGAACCACAGGCGGTCATTAAAGCAGCTAAATACAAGTCTTGCCACACAGATAGATCGAGCGAGAGAGAGAGGGAGGGAGGTAGGTAGATAAACAGCGAGAGGGACGTTAACAATAAAAATTACCGCATTGCAGCTTTTCAGTTCTCTAGCTGCAGCAGCAGCAGCGAGTGCATCACGAAAAATGCCAAGCAAATAACCAGATGGGGCTGTCCAACCAATAATTACTGCTCAGCCGCCTCAGGCAGTGACCACACCCGCACAGCCTCCAGACTAGTCCCATGCATCTCGCTCGCCTAATGGCCGACACGGTGTGCCATTAATGAACTAACCAAACCCCATGACTTGCCCCCTGGACGCTGTTCCCGAGTGTCTCTGTGGACGAGGCGACAAGCGACAAAGCGACAACAAAAGCATTGCTGTTTATCTTATTCTCAGACTGACTGACGGACGGCCATTACAAGTGCTGTTGCATGACATGCAGCACAACAGGTGCCAACAGCTGCCCATTAGCTAACTTGGCCGAAAAGCCAAAGCTTGCCATGAATTGAGACGCTGACAAAGTGCAGGATAATTATGCTGCTTGATTTCGTTCAATTATGAAAGGTTTTAACAAGGTCAAACTCCAAAAAAATTAAACCTTTTTGTGTAAAAAAAATATAATATAAAAATTAAGTTCTTTTATGTGTATTAAATTTGCATTTTGGTATACCAATTTTTTTATTTAATTTAATATTTCTCTATATGATACCTTAAATTTATTTATGGAAATTATTTACATGGGGAAATATTTTGTAAGATGAGGGCACGGAAAATTGGTAAATTTAATGTTTTAGGATTAGGAACTAAATAACCATCGACATGCTATTTGCATTGATTTGCCTAAGGTATACACCAAATTCGGGGCGTGGCAAATCGTAGATGAGTATTCTGCAATCTGTAACGGCCGACTGCAAAGTTCTAACCCGTTTTTATTTACAATATATATATGTATATGGCAAAGTAATCGAAGACAAAGTCCGCTTATTGAACATCTCATACGATTTTTCAATTACTCATGCATTACTTTAAATCTCGAGAATATGTGTGGGAGTCATTCTTAAAAATTAACAGAAATTCTGCATTTTCAGCATGACTTCACAAGGGTGGAATTATTCTTGTTAAAATATTTGATGAAGCTTGAAGTCGAACAGTTTAATGACATTTTAGCTAAGTTACCCTATAGTATATTGTATGTTTCGAGACATTTGATGAAATATCATTTGAGGCTTACCAAATGTGTCAAAATATTGATTATAAATTTACACAGCTTCTAACTGGAGAAATGTGGCAGCTGAATCAGTTTAGAATGAGCGCAATTAACACTTCTTGATGAATTTCTCTGGGTGAACATCAAGACTAACTAGTTTCAGCTAACGAGTTTTTGCCTTTGGCATAGCTCGAGCTCAACACCCGTATATTGACGTCAAGTCAGTCCAATTGAACCTTAGACTCTCTGCCACCTGTCACCTAAGCCCCGGAATAAATAAGAATATAAATTGGAAAATAAAAATCTAATTGCGAGCTATAAGCCCAATCTAAAAAGTTCAACCCTTTATTTATAGGTTTATTATCATAAGGTAAAAGTTAGGTCGCACCGAAAGGTCTAACTTTTTATATTACGAGCTTCAGGTCTAATCTAGAAAGTTCAACCCCTCGGTTTCGGTTTGTAGGCTAATGATAATATATAAAAGAATTATCAGTACCGTCTAGAGCTTTTTTACATGTCTGAATTTATGTTTTATTAAGCATCTTAGACTCAAGAATAAACAAAATAAGTTTGAGAAGAATTTTGTTTTTTTTAATTTCTAGGAATTTCTGGCCCAATTCCATTTATTAGTTGCCCTGAAATGATATCAAGTAATATCTTATTTTTCTTTAGAACCTTCCAGACTTTAAAGAATTATATCACACGTATGATATAATAAGAATTGCAAATAGAAACCACTTAATTAATTATTATAAAGAGAAGCTGTGCAGCTATTTCAAATCGAAAGAGAAAAATCCAGAATTCAACGTAGTTCGCTCACTGCACAGCTGTCTGGGAATTGGCTTTTAATTGCGCTCGATGGCAAATCGAATTGCAATTAATTGCGGCTTTCCGCATATCTTACTTATGGGCCATATTCTACTGACAAATGACCGTTACCGATGCGACGTCGATATGCGACTTTAACGATATGCAGTCAATTAAAAACAAGACCTACACAAATTCACTCACGCCAGGGCAATTTGCAGCCATCTCTTGACGATGGAAATTATCAGGGCGTCAGCCATTTGGCTGCCTATAACTGCCATTAACATAACTTGTTTAATAATATTTTACATTTGGAATCTTCAATTATCTTAAATACTATATTCTGCTCATTTGCTTTTCCTGTTCCTGTTTGAGTGTTTTCTTGTTGTATTACATTTGGATGAGATTGCAGTTGCCACTGTAATAGACCAGTTTACTTACGGGTGTGGCGGTAAATATATTCTTGATCAGCCTTTTGGGGTCACCCCTTCTCCTGCGTGTTACATAACATCTAACCAGGTCTGCATGCCTGTCCATATAAACTCAATAATCTAGCTTGCGAGAATTCAACTTTTTAAGTAAACCTAGTGCATTCGATTGGCTGAATTTATTTAGGCTCAGCTCGAAGAGTTGAAAATTTAGAGAACTTAAAATTTACTATCCGTGTGTGCAAGGTGTTCACATACATACGTAGTGCATGGCAGAAATAGCAGCTGCATTCTGGGTATTGGCTAGTCGAGCACTCCCCACTGGAGCATTTGCACTTGTTTTTCTTAAGAGCTTGATTTTGGGCAACCCGACGCCAAAACGTTAATTGACGTACGAATATTATGGGGCTACATACGGAAACTCACTGAGAATGCGGTTTGACGATTTTTCTTTCCGAGCAGCCGGTTTCGTTGCTATAACACACACACACACACAAACATGCATATATGTTGCACAAATGATTTAGAGTAGATCAATGGGTAGGTGGTCAGACAGACAGCTCGTGTTAGACTCGGCTTTAGCTTTAATTACAATCCCCTAGATCGAGGCACATGGAGCCAGCGGTTGGGGACCCACGTAAAATTTTGATGGATTTAACTGATTTTTAACCGATTTAATAGTTTACTACTAACGGCTTGATGTTGCAATTGTTTTAACATTTGCACCCTATAAGAGCCAAGGCTCTTTATTATAGCCTCATTGCCTAAGAGTTTGACTAACAATATATTGCATTTATTTTTTTGTGTTGCAGGAGTATATCAGACAGTTTTACGATGGCTGGCGGGATCTTATGGACAACAAATCAGATCCGCGCACCCGAGACTATCCGCTCATGAGCTCGCCATTTCCAACGATAGCAATCAGCTTGGCCTACGCATATTTCGTTAAGGTAAGTGGAAGGGTAGCACACAGACAAACAGACAGACAAACAGACAGACAGTCATCTATAATTACACCTGCTTGTGGTCGTTCGGGCAGTAAAATAAAAATCCCCAAATGAGCGGCTCTAGAATGAAGCACTTAAGATTGCTTAAGGCAGTTAGGGGTGTTCTAGCTGGTTCCATCTGCCAATCACCTTTTGATGACCCGGCACTGGCACGCGGATGCATTTTACGATCGACTCCTGCACCCAGTGAAACAAGTTTTTCATTGCAAAAAAAAAAAGCTAAAACCAAAAAAAAAAACGTAAATCAAAAGCGATAAAATGAAACATATTAAATAAGTTCAGGGCCAGTCGAACCATTCAAAATCAAAGGCAATCAGCGCTAAACGAGCGAAGCTGATGTCGAAACGCGCGATGCTTGACCCAAGTGGGCCAAAATTACATATGCAAAAAAGCAGCAGCAGAAGATGAAGAAGAAGAAAAGAAGTAGAAGCAGCAGAAGCAGCAAGGAAAGAGATGAGACAAAATTTGTAAAACCTAAATTCGAAAAACGATTTCTATTTAAGTTTCAGCTTTGCATTGCTTTACATTTTATATATACATATGCATGTAATCATTTAAATGGCTTTCGAATAGCGCACACAACAAAAGACTTAGGCAACGAACTTGTCCCAATATCAACATCAGCCGCAACCTCAAGAGCCGCCGATTGATTCGATAATTACAGCATTCGTCGCACACCTTTTGTTTGATTATGTAGTATGTGTTAGATGCTCAATTAAAACCAGTGCTGCTGGCCCAGCTCACACAGCTCCAAGTGACATCTATGCTGGCTGTCAAACGAATTTCGACCATTTTGTATTTGTTTATTTATACATTTATATATCAATATATATGTATATATGGAGAATATGAACTATGCAGAACTCCGAGCCGGATCTCTAAGCCGGTTTTATAATAATGCATAGTTATAAACATTTATAGTCATATATATTTATAATAACAATTATACAAAAGTTTAAATGCATTATCGTACTTATGATTTATTCTGTAATCAATACGATTTATAGTCTTGAGACATATTGCGCAGTTCTGTTTAAAATAATTTGTAATATAAATCATATATATGCACACATATATATTACAAGTGATTTATATTTATCGTATCTACGAGACATTGTGTGATAGCCTGATAACCAAAAGTACAATTAAATCCACTTTAATTTGAAAGCAGTGCCACATTGCCTTAAATTATATAATTATATAAAGAGTTCTATACAAATATAGCTTGGACATAATTGTAAATATAAATCATATCAATCATGCATTTAAATTTGCAAAATAAATTTTTACAAATTACATATAATTTAATTTAATAATGAAAAAAAAATTAATTAAAAAAAAATTGTAATTATACCATATAAACTGTTTTTAAAAATAAAAAATAAAAATTATATATAATTTGTATACCAAAGTTTTCAAAATACATTTAAATTAAATAATATTTACAAGTTAAAGTTATATTAAAACTAAAAATATTTAAAAATGACGTTTCATCATATCAGATTTAATTACAATAAAAATATCTATAAAACATTCTCTCTTTATCACACTTTTCTGCAGGTGCTGGGCCCCAAGCTGATGGAGAACAGAAAACCCTTTGAGTTGAGAAAAGTTCTGATTGTGTACAATGCAGCACAGGTTATATTCAGCGCGTGGCTGTTCTATGAGGTAGAGTGTGTTGAAAGCTCTGCCACTATTCGGAAATAAAACCATAAACTTTATATTTCTAGTCTTGCATAGGAGGCTGGCTGAATGGCTATAGCTTGAGATGCGAACCCGTTGATTATTCCTATTCGCCGCGTGCGATACGTGTGAGTATCAAGTATATAGACAGCATATACATTAATAGTATATATATGTTTATATATACGTCTATGTGTGTGTCTGTTAGAATGTATTTATGATTTAGCTGGTGTCTGTTCAGTGTGCCAGATTTATATGTATTAGACAACCAGTTCTTTTTGGCTTAAACAAAGAGGTATAACGGCGACAGGTTCTTATGCTAATCAATCGATGACAAATGTCTATGCCGCGATGCCGGCCGGCTGGCCGGCCTGGACCGTTCTTGGTCTTGCCTAGATTGAAGACTCACGTGTAAGCGGGCTTTAAAAAGAAACTGCCGAAAATGATCGTATAGAAAGCCAACATTGTCCAACCTATTGATATACATATATATATAGCAAATAATAATGTATTTGTATACCCTGTATATTGTTTGCAGACCGCATATGGCTGCTGGTGGTACTACTTCTCCAAGTTCACCGAGTTCTTTGACACATTCTTCTTTGTGATGCGCAAGAGATACGATCAGGTGTCCACGCTGCACGTCATCCATCATGGCATCATGCCCGTCTCCGTTTGGTGGGGCGTCAAGTTCACACCTGGCGGGCACTCGACCTTCTTTGGCTTCCTGAACACCTTCGTCCACATCTTCATGTACGCCTACTACATGCTGGCCGCCATGGGACCCAAGGTGCAGCGCTATCTCTGGTGGAAGAAATACCTGACTGTGATGCAAATGATTCAGTTCGTGCTCGTGATGGTGCACTCGTTCCAGCTGTTCTTCAAGAACGACTGCAACTACCCAATTGGCTTTGCCTACTTCATTGGCGCTCACGCCGTGATGTTCTACTTCCTCTTCTCGAACTTCTACAAGCGGGCCTATGTGCAGCGCGATGGCAAGGTATGCAAACAAATTTATAAACAATATATATGTTTGGCTTATCAATTTTTGTCTCCTCTACAGGACAAATCGGCTGTTAAGGCCAATGGTCACACAAATGCCGAAATGAAGCAGGTCAAGGACGGCAACAGCAATGGCAACGGCAATGCCCACTCAAATGACTTCCAGAATCGCTTCCAGAACACCTTCTCCAAATTCACCACAGAGATGTGCAATCCGGCYCTCAACTCCAACTCGACGTCGACGGCGCGACAACGTGTTCTCATCAATGCGGGCAACAAGTGAGAGCCGAGCCGAGCCTACCCGTGCCGAGCCGTGCCGTGTCGAGCCCAGCCAGCCAACCAAGAAACAAAGCATAAATTAATTAAATGTAACAAATTAAATTACCGTAACATTAAATTAAACGTAAGCATAGGGAGTCCAAGCCTAATTCTAAGCCAAATCCACAACGAACATTATATTGAAAGCAAAACTATAGAAGCTCGAGAAAAAGAGAGAGAAAAAAAAACATTTTATCATAAAAATCCAATATTTGACAATTGCACGGATAGATCAAGCAATTATATTTATATATATATAATATAACTCATAAGGGGACACCAAGAATAAACCGTACACTACCATACCAATACATGGTTACCCGAACACCAACTAACA